CCACCACCGCCACCACCACCACCCCCCCCGCCACCACCGCCACCGCCACCGCCGCCACCGCCCCCACCGCCCCCACCACCACTACCACCACCGCCACCGCCACCAAAACCACCGGCAGCAGCAGCAGCAGCAGCAGCGGCAGCAGCAGCAGCACCACCACCACCACCGCCACCACCACCAGCACCGCCACCACCACGTCACCACCGGCACCGCCACCACCACATCACCACCAGCACCGCCACCACCGCATCACCACCAGCACCGCCAGCACCACATCACCACCACCGCGACCAACCACCACCACCACCACCACCACCACCACCACCACCACCGCCGCCACGACCAACAACAACAACAACAACAACAACAACAACAACAACAACACCATCACAAGAAGAGCCGCATAATATCAACAAGATGAACAACGAGAGCAAGAACAGCAGCCACAACAGCAGCCACAACAACAACAACAAGAATAACAGCACGAGCAATGTCAGCAGTAACTGCAGCAGGAGCATCAACAACAACAGCACTAGCAACAGCACCAGCAACCGCAATGGCAACGGCAACAGCAGCAGCAGCAGCAGCAGCAGCAGCAGCAGCAGCAGCAGCAGCAGCAGCAGCAGCAGCAGCAGCAATAGCAAGAATAATGCTAACAGCTATTAACAAGAACAAGAAGAAGGACATCGAGAGCAGTAATATTGATCGGAGTAAGAATCTGAAGAAGATTTCGACTAAGACTACGGATAGAATAAGAACTTTGAGGAAAGAATGCGACTGATAATTATGATGAGAATAAGCACAGGAAAATACCAACAATATTAATAAGATGAATAGCAGCAGCACCAGAAGCAGCAATAACCAGACTCATACCACAAACAACAATAATATCAGTAGTCATACCACTGGTAACAATATTAAGTGAGAATTTAAATGCTAATATGGATAATCGTAATCATACAGACTTTTAAAAGAGTACGAGTAATAGTAATAGTTAGCAGCAATAGTACAATAGTAGGCCTGCCGCCATCTTATTCTCGCGATTCCAAAAACTTACTAATAGTATTTTCCGGGTTCCTGATAATACTTCAAATAATATAATCTACCCCAAGACCCTATCCCTGAAGTTCCATGAACTCCCTAAACCCCAAAAACCCAAAACCCCAAACCCTACACGATAAGGAGGCGGGTGTTCTTCCAGTCTCGGCGCTACGCCAGAAGCTGCAGCTCGCATCCTTCCATGTCCATTTGGAGAACTGTGTGGCGATCCGTCAAAGCTTCCTCGAGCGAGATCGCTGGCACCAGCGTTGTCGAGCCAGGGGTGCGCAACAGCGTCTGGCAAGACGACAAAGAAGACTTCCAGCTTCTTGTCGTGGAGCCTGCAAAGTTTGAGAAAGACAAGCACGCTTTCGCGCCAATTTGCGCGAGCCAGCTGGTCAAGGACGTGTCGGCGGGCTATGGGAATTTGTTCCCGCTGTCGTCGCGCCAAGTTCTCCAAGAAGTTTGCTCTGTGTAGCAGTAGTAAAGATCGCCGAAGACCATACATGAGGTTGAGTTTCAATTTGTCTTGTTTCCAGCTCTATGTTGTCCCAAACTTGTAAGGCCACGCCGTGAACGTGCATTCCGATGGTTAGTGCCAGCCAAGAAGTTTTAATGTCACGAAAACAATGTATGTGGCATCGGAGAGTGGTCTCCGACATTCCACATTTTAAGTCTGTCGGCGTGTTGATCGGACGGCGATTTTTCATGTCGGAAAATACGTAATTCCTGAGGGATGTAGTGCAGGGCAAGGAAGAGCTTAGTTGCGCATGATTTCATTTGCGCGAGTGTTTAAGAGTCCGATTTTGCTGATCGATGGGCATAAAGCAAATTTGGGTGCAGTTTTTGTGTTTTTTTGCTGTGGGGACGGTATTTAGAACCAAATCCTGCCATGTTCAAGCCTCTCCAGCGCGGCCCCTCGGTGCAGTGGAAGATGATGGCAAGTTGCAAGGTTCTGCTTCACGCAGGCTTGGGCCATTTTGTGATTGTCAGTGCAGCGGGCCGCGGTCGCATCGGCGGCCGCCTGGACGGCCGAGCGCACCAATTCCATGTCCGTCGTTGGGTTGCCACCAGTGGCACGCGAATCGACGGAGGCTTCCGCCGTAGCACTTGGCAGCTGGTAGCTGACGACTTCCAGCTTCCCGTCTTCGATCCTTCGAAATCCGCAAAAGATACTGTGGAAGATGATGGCAAGTTGCAAGGTTCTGCTTCACGCAGGCTTGGGCCATTTTGTGATTGTCAGTGCAGCGGGCCGCGGCCGAATCGGCGGCCGCTTGGACGGCCGAGCGCGCCAATTCCATGTCCGTCGCTGCATTGCCACCAGTGGCACCAGGCGAATCGACGGAGGCTTCCGCCGTAGCACTTGGCAGCTGGTAGCTGACGGCTTCCAGCTTCCCGTCTTCGATCCTTCGAAATCCGCAAAAAATACGCACGCACTGCAAGGCGCTGCAAGTTTTCTTCCTCAAGCCAGCTTAGGGTTGAAGGTTGCATTTGTGGGTATACCTGTAGTCTCCATTGTAGCTCCATTTTTTGGTTTAACCAACTGGATAGTAAGAAGTTTAGAAGGTATCCCCAAAAAAAGGAATCTACAATGGAGAGGTGCCCCTCGGTTCTCCTCGGCTCTTCTCGATTCTCTCTCGGTTCGACCTCGGGCCCCCTCGGTTC